AACATTAAACATCAGTAATAATACAGGACAAAATAATCATTAACATAACTGGCTGAACAATAATAGTTTAAACCAGTGGTTTTTCAACCAGTGTGCGGGGCACCCTCATAGCTGTCAACCATCCCTTATTTGGCGGCAAAGTCCCTTATCCCAGCGCTGTGTCCCACTGCTGCCCCTTATTGATGATGTCCCTTAAATTTCCCGGGTTTCAAAGGAAGCATCTCCTCTCCCTTTCTCCTTGCCGGCCAGGGAGGAGGGAGGCTCCAACTGTGTTGCTAGGCTGCGTTGCTCACCCAATAAAGAGTCTAAGAATGACTGGGGGGGGGAGTGGAGCTTGCATGCCTTGTGCCGATCAAATCGGCCGCGTTGCCTGGGGACTCGCCTTTGCTCAGCGCTTCCCAGTGGAGAGGTGACGGTGGTTCTCCTTTGCCAGGTTGCTGCGCTGTGGGAACCATCGCTTGAGGCTTCATTTGGCTGGGGTTTTTGCCTTTGGCTTGGAGGGGCTCAGAAGTTGAACATACCTGTGCTGGGAAAATCCCTTATTTTGGCTGCTGATCCCTTATTTTCGAGGCTGCTGGTCCCTTATTTTCAAATCTGTAAGTTGACAGCTATGGGCACCCTGAGGTACGTTGAATGCTGGTCAGGGGTTCTTGGGCAACATTGGCCTCTGTCCCTCTTTCCTTCCTTCCCATCTCTGATGCCCTCTTGCATTTTCTGCCTCCCAAAGGCTTGTAGGGCTGTTTGTTGCAGCAGCCCCAGCTACAAGCTCCGCAGGCGAATGGTGCCTCTGGGATTGGCCAGGGAGCATTGGTAGAGGAAGAGGAGTGCGGGGGGAGCACACCACCCCCGGCAGCGCGGTCCCAGTGGGGTGCCATCATGGCTGCCCCCCTCGCCCATGCTGGGCGCCACGCCCCCAGGATGTGCGCCAGCCCCGCCTCGCCTGCTCTCCGCCCCCTGGTGCCGGAGCATGAAGCTCCACCACTGCCATGGGGTGATAGTGGCCAGGAGCTTAGGTGGCCTCAGAGTAAGCAAGCAAGCAGGCGAGGGAGCCCAGCCAGCCAGTCCGCCAGCCCTGGCTGTAGTCCCATGCCCCTGAGGCAGGGGGGCAGCTCAGAGACCAGGGGCAGCAGCAGCAGCTGCCCGGAGGACTCCCAAGGAGAGGGGAGAGGAGGCTGAAGGAATGCTCCACAAGGGAGGGTGTTCAAGAAAGGGTGAGGGGCTGCCAGCTCTGCATGCAAAGGGGTGACATAACTGGGCTCCTGAGTCCCACAGGAGTGCCGCAGAAAGAATGCCGTTGTTCAAGGGAGCCTTGGACTCAAAAAGGTTGAAAACCTCTGGTTTAAACAATTGCATAGGCCTGTCAACATGAAAAGGTATTTGAGAAACACCTGAAAGTCAAAAGCGAGGGTGCCTGTTGCATCTCTGCTGGAAGAATGCTCCGTAACATGGGACTGGCAGCTCCAAATGCCCAACGTTTAGTTGAGGCTAGACCCTTCAAGTGTCCCTATTCCCCAGGAAGATTCCTGGATTTACAGAAGCCATCCTGGTTTCTGATTTGATCCTGGAATGTCCCGCTTTTCTTAGGACGTCCGTATTTTCATCAGAGAAATGTTGGAGGGTATGGAGTTATGCAATTCCTGAGCCAAGGAAATCTGAAGACATCTGAAGGCAGTCCTGTACAGGGATTATTTTTTGAATGTTTAATGTTTTATTATGTTTTCATATATGTTGGAAGCTGCCCACAGTGGCTGGGGCAACCCAGTCAGATGAGCAGTGTATAATAATAATAATAATAATAATAATAATAATAATAATAATAATGGACATCCCTAGTTTCATCGGAGAAATTTTGGCGGGTAAGAACACTTGGTTGAATTGATAGCATTTTGTGTACTCATTAATTGCTATTAGTCTCTTAACAAGCCAGACGCTTCTGACGCTTTTGAAGTGACAAAACAGGCTCTGCTCCCTGAGAGTTTATGGCACTCTCAGGCGGCCAACTTCGCTGCCCTTTCATCCCGAAACAAAAATGCAGATTGTGTAATTGGAAACAGTTCCCTGGGAGAACCAGAGCCACTTGCTGCGATTTGCTTGTTAGAGCGGCTGGCGGCATCGAGATCAAAGCTCTGGTGCGGACAAAGCAGCAGACAGCTCAAAAAGCAGAAAGCAACTTGAGGCTCCATGAGAAGAGATGGTTGGCAGAGAAATCTTGGTAACTGCCTGCAGCCCTCATCCGGCCGTGCTTTTTCCTGCTACTACACCTTTTTACGTAACGTAGAAAAAAAGCGCCTTTTCTTAGCTTCTGGCTCATGTCTGTTCTAAAAACACAGATAACAGCCCTGCTTTGCCCTCTCCCTGGAGTGTTTTTGCCAGGCTGGAAAGTGCCCTTGAACTCCTGAAAATGCCTCTAGCTTGCCTGGAAGGGAGAGATAAGAGAGATGTGTTTGTGGCTAGAACCAGACAAAGGGGAAATTTGCATTCTCTGCTCCTCCCACTTTAGCCCCTGGCCCCACCCACCACTGACCTGTGGCCCTTAGGACATTAGGTAAAGGTAAAGGGACCCCTGACCATTAGGTCCAGTCGTGACCGACTCTGGGGTTGCGGCGCTCATCTCGCTTTATTGGCCGAGGGAGCCGGCGTACAGTTTCCGGGTCATGTGGCCAGCATGACTAAGCCGCTTCTGGCGAATCAGAGTAGCGCAAGGAAATGCCATTTACCTTCCCACCGGAGCGATACCTATTTCTCTACTTGCACTTTGACGTGCTTTCGAACAGCTAGGTTGGCAGGAGCTGAGACCGAGCAACTGGAGCTCACCCCGTAGCGGGGATTCAAACCTCCAACCTTCTGATTGGCAAGTCCTAGGCTCTGTGGTTTAATCCACAGCACCATTGCCCAGGCATTAATGCGGCTCTCAGGCTGTGAAAGGTCTCCCATCCTGGTGTAATGCTATGTATCGGGTGATGTGGTGTTACCGTTTGCCCTAAAATGTTGATGAGTTCTCATGAGGACTTTTTGGGTGTGTGTTTTGTTGTTTTTTAAAAAATTGCAGATTGATGTGGAAATGTGGAGAACCAAACTCAAGGGTGGAAAAACGAGAAATTGAAAGAAACCGAAAACGACAGATTCTCATATTATCAGAACTGCCTCCAGGTCCCAGCTCACAGAGGACCAACGCTAGCCGGTAGTAATGTACAAAAGTCTTTATTGAAATACAGTTTCCATTTTCAAGCCGCAGCGCGCAGCTCTACGTCTAGAAGCTAGACCGGCGAAGCTCCATCTGAATCTCCACCCCCTGTACACCAGTTTAAGACTCTAACCTTACTCCACCTCTTCCGTCTCTCCTTTCTCCTCTGGGTCCTTCTACCCCCCGGGGTCCCTTCCTTCCTGGACTCTTCTGACGCTGACCCCCCTGACTCTTCTCCCTCCTTTCGGCGGGCTTTAGGACCTGGCTCCCTATCCGGGCTGCCAACTGCGCCGCCCTCTTGTACATTTGAACTTGGCGCGCGCGCCCAGTCTCCGACCTTCCTTTTGACCGTTTCCTCGCTCTCCGATGGAGGAGTGGCCAATCCTGACTCATGTCCTCCCGCTGGCGGTGAGCCGCCTGATCCCGATACCTGGGACTCCTCCCCCCTACTGCGCTCTGGTGGAGAAGCTGGTCCGGATTTCCAACTGCTGCTCTCTGAGTCCCCTCTGGCCCCTTCTTCCTGGGGTGTCCCCCTAGGCAACCCCCTTGCTCTGACCATGGGAGCCCCTTTCTGTGAATCCTCCGATTCGCTGGAGAGACTCAGAGACCTCGGACCGCTGTCATCGCTAACATTTCCTTCGGATTCCTCCTCCTCGCTCTCTATTTCCTCCCTTTCCTGTGCCTCAGCTCCTGAGCCCCTGACACATATGATAACCAGTGTGGTGTAACAAAGGCCATGTTCACACCATTCATTTAAAGCGCTATGATGCCACTTTAAACAATCATGGCTTCTCCCCAATAATTCTGGAAGAAGGAGTTTGTGATGGTTGCTGAGAGCGGTTAGGAGACCCCTGTTCCCCTCACAGAGCCACAGTTTCCAGAGTGGTTTGACAAGCAATCCCTCTTCACAGGGAACTTGGTGAATTATAGCTTTGGGAGGGAAATAGGGAGTCTTTAGGGAAGAAATTGGAGGCGGGTGGCGCTGTGGGTAAAAGCCTCAGCGCCTAGGGCTTGCCGATCGAAAGGTCGGCGGTTCGAATCCCCGCGGCGGGGTGCGCTTGGTCCCAGCGCCTGCCAACCTAGCAGTTTGAAAGCACCCCCAGGTGCAAGTAGATAAATAGGGACCGCTTACTGGCGGGAAGGTAAACGGTGTTTCCGTGTGCTGCGCTGGCTCACCAGATGCAGCTTCTCACGCTGGCCACGTGACCCGGAAGTGTCTCCGGACAGCGCTGGCCCCCGGCCTCTTGAGTGAGATGGGCGCACAACCCCAGAGTCTGTCAAGACTGGCCCATACGGGCAGGGGTACCTTTACCTTTAGGGAAGAAATTAGCCTTTCTGTGTAGGGGTATGTGGATGGATGATTGTATATAGGAGTGCCTTCACTTACATTTTGTATTTCAGCATAGCAGATTTTGCCACAGATCACTCGAATGAACCAAATTAGTTCATTTTGTAAAGGGACAAACGTGAACTGAAATTAGTTCCTTTTTGGACATCTTAAACTCGTTCCTTTTTAAAATTAACTTTCCGTGTTCTGACATGCACACAAGCACAATCACAATCCAGAACTGGTCTAGGCAAACTTTGACCAGACTCTACCAATTTAGGAAGTTTAAAAACAACAACAGGGAGTATTGCAACATTCCTTATGTGTGCCCCAGGCATCTGCTTAATGAAGGGTACAACTGAAAGTTATATTCTGCAAAACTGAAGGGAGGGGGGGGACTTTGTTAATGGATAAGCAAATACTGAAAACCTCCATTCTGAGCAACCGCAGTTTAGAGACCTCTCTTTCTCTCTCTTTCTCATCATACAGTCTCCTAATCCTCCCTTCTGTCTCTTAAAATGAAAAGCTACAGGCAAGCCACAAATTGGAAGACTAATTAAGAACTTGAAGGAAGAATCGCTGTGTGTGCCTCATCTCGGAACTGGAGAAAAGTATAAGCAATTTAATAAACTATCTGGACTGATTTAAGCGCTCAGCACAGTATTCCATAGTTGTTCTGCTTCCTGGCATTCAAGCAGGACTGAAAATAGATGCAAAGGAGCAGCTTTTGACTGGAAGAATTGAGCTAGAAGACTGTGCTCACAAATCCGGTCTGGCAAGTGAGAAACGGAAGGTATTTTTGCTGAGGGCTGCTGTGCCAGAGTCACAATGCAAAGGAAGTAAATTTGATGTTAACAAAGCAGTTATTTCGGCAAAGAGACCCTCAAGTCTTCTTTGTGGATGGTGTGCTACTCTTCGAGTTTTTGTAGATTATCATCCCAGTCCAGGGAAGCTTAAGGGTTTGACACACAGTGACCTGACCCATGTCACCCAGGGAGCTTCAGGGATGAAATTTGAACCCTGCTCTCATAGGTCCTAGGTAGGCAAACTAGGGCCTGGGGGCCAGATCTGGCTCAATCGCCTTCTAAATCCAGCTTGCAGACAATCCAGGAATCGGCATGTTTTTACATGTGTAGAATGTGTCCTTTTATTTAAAATGCATCTCTGGGTTATTTGTGGGGCATAGGAATTTGTTCATTTCCCCCAAAAAAATTAGTTCGGCCCCCCACAAGGTCTGAGGGACAGTGGACCGGCCCCCTGCTGAAAATGTTTGCTGACCCCTCCAACACACTAACCAATACACTATGTTGGGGAGACAGTGTGAACCACCTGGCTCAATTGCATGGATGCTAAAATCCAGTTTTGAAAATGTAAGTACTGGCCATGGTGGGGGCGGGTGTAGATGTCAGAATTTAACCCTTTCCAACTGTATCATGGTCCTGAAGAAAATGGCCCACCACTTGCTGCTATTGTCTATGCTGACTGGCAGCACCTACCTGGAGATGCCACAGACTGAACATAGGGCCTTCTGCATGCAAAGCAGATGCTGTTATCACTGAGCTGCAACCCTTCCACAAACAACAGAATATATATATACTGTATAATGCAAAGTAGATACCCATGGTAGAGACTCATACATCCAGCTAGGACAGTCCATCAGGAGAGAAATGTCTCTAGTTGTTTCTGGAAAGTATAGATAATGAGCACCTGTCATAACTCGACAGGTGTGCTGTTCCACAGAACAGGGGCAGCCACATTGAAATGGATACATTGATAGAGTGTATATTTTCTTCTGTTTCCAGGATGAGTCAAACATCCCATCTCAGTGTCTCCAAATTCTCTTGCTGTCTAATTTAATAGTCTGTAGCAGGAATGGGGAGACTGTGGTTTCTCTAGATGCTGTTTGGCTGATGGGCGCTGGAGTCCAAAAAGATTTGTTGGGAGGAACAGAGCTTCCCCAACCCTGGCCTTTGTTTGCAGACTGAAAACACAAGATTCCCGAATGACTGAAATATATTATTATTTATTACAGTACCACAAATGAAGGCAATGTGCTGTTTTTATTTCACCAACAGATATCTCTGGGCATCAACTGATAAGTCTCACTAAGATCAAATAGTGGCTTTTTCTAGCACCCCATGGAAATCAATATGTCTTGTTTCTGGTTTCTTGACTTTATACTCTTGTCCTGTTATTCCCCCTCTCAGATCTTTCCTCCGGCTAACCCTTGAATCAAAGCCTGCTAAAAACAATGAATGTGCTTGATGACACCCAAGGAAGATCACACAAAACAAGGCTGCCCTTGTGGTTTTCTGCTAGTTATATTTTATTGTTATATTTATTCACTATTCCAGCAGAAGAGGATTTCAGAAAACTTGTTTTGGTTTATGTCATTTTACTACCGATGTCCCATGCATGTGGAAAGGAGATTACTTGCAAAAAGTGAAGCTAATGTAGAAAGATTTATTATTTATTATTATTATTTGAATATTTACCGGAAGGGAATTGAAAATATGGTCCAGGGCATTGTAACCCCATGAATTCTTTTTAAAAACTCATTTTTATTTGATTTTACAAATAAAAGATTATAATAATCCAAATACATATCTATATATAGAGATTACTCTGAATCTCAAGACTTCCCCCATCCCTTCCATGGCTCTTATTGTCAACATTTACAACTGCATATTATTCCATATTCTATATTTTGCATCCAACCACATTAGTATTTATTACACTACAAGTGAGATTAAAATCCTGCTAATGTTTTCATCCGCTTGTAGTGGTCTCTTAAATAGATTATGAATTTTCCCCATTCTTTTTTTTAAAGTTTTTGTCCTCTTGGTTCCTGAGCTTTCCGGTCAGCTTTGCCATTTCGGCATAGTCCATCAGGTTAGCTTGCCATTCCTCTCTGGTAGGGACAGGGGTGGAAGAAAGGGGGGCGGTGGGAGCGGTCCACATCAGGTGTCACCACTGAGGAGGGTGACAAAATGCCGGATGGCACTCACGGTGGGGCCTGCAGTGCCCCTGAGCCACGTGTCTTTCCTGGGAGAGCCACGGTGGCTTATGCGTGCAGGCTCTGCGCTGCCCCAAACAGTCCGCCCTCTGCCTCCCCCTCAGCTGTAGTGCGGCTGAGTGCGAGGAGGCAGGCAGACTCCTCGGAGGCTCCACAGAGCTTCAAGCCCCAGCTGGCCCCGCCCCATGAGTGGCTGGCCCCACCCCTGGGCGCAAGGCATGCGTGCCACCCCAGGCGCCCAATCAGCTTGCTCCACCGCTGGGTAGGGACTTTTTCTTCTTTCCAGTAACCCCATGAAGGCTAACAGAATCTCAAGGTGCATACAGTGGTACCTCGGGTTACAGACGCTTCAATTTACAGACTCCATTAACCCAGAAATAGTACATCGGGTTAAGAACTTTGCTTCAGGATGAGAACAGAAATCGTGTGGCAGCAGCAGGAGGCCCCATTAGCTAAAGTGGTACCTCAGGTTAAGAACAGTTTCAGGTTAAGAACGGACCTCCAGAACGAATAAAGTTCTTAAGCCGAGGTACCACTGTACTTTGATGAGGCCATGAAATAGCAATTTACATGGTATTTCATAAGCAGTTTCAAAAGAAGTCAACTTTCTTCACATCCCTAGCCAGGGCTAAGCGCTATTGAGTTCAATAGTGCTTATTACTAGGAAACCACACACAGGTTGATTGCAGTTATGCTGGTCCTAATAAATTGTGTATTTTGCAATGACCTGTTGCGCTTCGCTCGCTCACTCTCTGCCTGTCTGCATGAGTGTGATATACGAAGCACGATTGTGATGAGAGCTCCTGCAGTTCAAAATCTATCACTGGATCTAGCCAGCCTTGTGTTGCAATCAGTCTGCTGCCCGGAAGGCAAAATCCCTTTCAAATGCTTGCTGAGCCACAGCATGTCAGTCTCAGCTCTGTAGACCGAAATGTATCGATTTATGCAGAGGAAACCATTTTTCCTTGGCAGGACATATATGGGCTTACTCTCCATCACTTTATCTAGTTTGGCGTCAAGTTCCTGATTGTGTGAATCATCGGAAGGTGCTTTAGAGCAGGGCAGATTGTTTATCCATCAAGCTCAGCACGGTCTGCTTTGTTAGTGGTTCTTTAGACCTGCAAGCAATGGTGGCTGGTGTCCATTGGGATGGGTAATAATAAATAATAAATCTTTATTTATACCCCCCTTCCCGGTTCTGAAAACCAGGCTCAAGGTGGCTAACAACAAATTTAAAACACTTAATTGATGCAACAAAAAACAGCATAAAATACAGTATAAAACGTGAATAACAATAAATTCAGAACTCAAAAATCAGTTTATGGGGAAAATCCATCCAATAAACATTAGATGACCACCAGGGCTAGCTGGCTAAATTAGTCCTATTTGGGTCAGCAAGGAGGCCAGGGGAGAATTTGCTGTGGGATCCCAGAGCGGGTAATCTTCATAAAAAGGGGAGAGGGAGGGAAGGAAGGGGGATAAAAGATCAGGCTAAGTTCAAATTGAAAGCCAGGTGGAATAGCTTTGTCTTCCAGGCTCTGCGGAAGGAAGTTAAATCCTGCAGGGCCCCGGTCTCATGGGACAGAGCATTCCACCAGGTCGGAGCCATCACTGAGAAGGCCCTGGCCTTGGTGGAGGATAATCTGACTTCCTTAGGGCCCGGGACCTCAAAACTATGATTATTCATGGACCTTAAGGTCCTTTGTGGGGCATACCAGGAGAGGCGGTCCCATAAATACGAGGGCCCTAAGCAGAAGGTAAGGAGACTAACAGCATGTGAAGCCACAGCCAATGACGGGCAATGGTTGTCTGTAACAGCTGGGATAGCACAGTTGGCAGAGCATGAGACTCTCAATCTCAGGGTTGTGAGTTTGAGACCCACATTGGGCAAAAAGATTCCTGCATTGCAGGGGGTTGAACTAGTTGACCCTTGACTTAAAATTTACAGCATGCTGTGAGCTGAAGGAGAACGATATAAAAATGATGTATCGGTGGTATTTAACACCTATAAAATTAGCAAAGATGTATAGAACTGCTTTAAATGTATGTTGGAAATCTAAGGAGAAGCAAGGCATGTTATACCAGATGTGCTGGACATGCAAGATAATAAAAGCATTCTGGGAGATGATATATAATGAGTTGAAAAAAATGTTTAAAATAACATTTTGTGAAGAAACCGGAGGCTTTTTTTATTAGGAATTTTAGGTGCAGAGATACCAAAGGAGCAGAAATGACTATTTATGTATGTGATGGCAGCAGCTCGGATGCTTCTGGCCCAGAGATGGAAAGAAGATAAAGTCCTGACCAGAGGGGAATGGCTGATGAAGGTGGTGGACTATGCTGAAATGGCAAAAATGACTGGGAAAATCAGAAACCAAGAAGAGAGGAACTTTACGAAGGAATGGAAAAAATTCACAATGTACTTAAGAGAACACTGTAAACAACCAAAAACTTTGGCAGGATTTGAGTAACGCTTGTAATGTACTAGAAACCAAGGTAAAAATGGATTATTTAGGAAAAATAGAGAAAATATGTGAAGCAGTGGAAAAAGATTGAAAATGGTAACCACGGAAGGGTGGAGGGGAGTCTAAGGATTCAGGGAATCCTAAATGAGGATGAGGATGTTTAACGTTTGAATTTAAATGTGCAATGTAAAACATAAAAATGGGCATGAATTTTCAGATTTTTTTAAAATTGCAAACAGAGGTGTAAATGGTGCAAACTAGAGATGGCAAAAAATAGAAACCAAGGACTCAGCTATACAGCTGCAAATATAGCATTTTAAGTGTGTTCTAAGTGCATTATACAAATGGGACACTAGATGGTGCTGATGAGCTAATGGCAAATTCCATATATATTTTAAAACGGGTGTTTTTTAAAAAAGGATTTTCACAGCGTTTTTAGTATCTGTGTAGATTCAGCCCAAAATTCATAGATTTATCCTAAAGACTCAATGAGGCTGAAAAAAATGGCTGCATCCAGCGCTCACCCTACCCAAAGTAGACACCTTGAAACCAATGGACGTATTCACTTAGGTTCATCAATTTCAGCATGTCTGCCCTGAGCAGAATGTAATCAGAGTAGCACCGTGGGGCTTGTCAGCACCTTGGCGCAATTCTGTGCTGCAAAATTCCCTTTTCCTGTCTTACCTGACTCTCTCACTAATCACCCAGCTCCCTTCTCCCATATATAGAAGTCCCTTTGAACCAGACAAGCATTTCATCTTGAGATGGGGTGTGGGTGGAATGCCTGATGCTCTGCTATCTTCCTTGCACTTGTGATTAGGCACTTGAATTCTCTGTCTTCTGTTGCGGGACTTTTATTCCCAGGTCTGCGGTTTGATGATGAAGTTTTTTCTCTTTGCATAATTCAGAAGATCAGTCACTTTTGGTTTGGCTTTTGATGTTCCCCTGCAGGCTGAGCAGGGCTTCTTTCCAAAGATAACACCGTTTCTGATAACCCTTTTAATGCGCATGTACACACATGCGCTCCCATGGGTCATGTTGCTATTATGCAGCCTTCAAAATCCAAGAAAACGCAGTGGTTCGGTGTAGGCAATAATGAAGTATGCTTCCTCCAAGGAATTCAGGGTGGTGTATCCTTGTCTCCCTTTTTTGCCTTCACAACTATCCTGAGAGATGTTGGTTTAGTGTTTCCAAACTGCCTTTGGACTACAATTCCCATCATCCGTGACCACTGGACCTGCTAGCTAGGGATGATGGGAGTTGTAGTCCAAAAAACCACTGGGACCCAAGTTTGGGAAACACTGGTTTAGAGAAAAGGTGAGTGAGGGACAAACTGATATGTGTTTATAAAATTATGGCAGGCTCTCCAAGTGTCCCTATTTTCCAGGGATGTCCCTGATTTAGAGAAGCTGTTCCGGTTTATGATTTGATCCCAGAATGTCCCACTTTTCTTTACAATGTCCCTACTTTCATTGGAGAAATGTTGGAGGGTATGGAGTTATCCAACCCCCAAGCCGTCTGAAGGTATGGGGAGGTTTTAAAAAAAATGTTTAATGTTTTATTATGTTTTTTATATATGTTGGAAGCTGCCCAGAGTGGTTGGGGCAAGCTAGTAAAATGTGTGGGGTATAAATAGTAAAATTGCCATTATGTAATGGGACATCCCTATTTTCATGGGAGAAATGTCGGAGGGTATGTTATGGGTGGCATGGAGAAAGGTTTTGTCCCTTTCTCATAACTCTAGAATTTTTGGGCAGCAAAAGAAGCTGAATATGGAAATATTTGTGAAAGCTTGGAGGAAGGGGCAGCCTCATTTTGCCTGTTAGAGTCAGCACTGTCAAATCACATCTGTATCAGCCCTAATGCTGTGGCTATAGGCTTGCCCCAGTAATCCCATTCCCTCTATGCAACAAATAAAGATGTGATCCGCCAGGATCGACTAAAGAAGCAGTGGTTCAAATCTGAGCAAATAAAGAGTGATTCACAGCAAACAGAAACCTAACTCCCTCAGCTTAGCTGAGACCTCAAAGATTCTTAGCT